CCCTGACCCCCCCTCTCGACAGGCCTGTATACTCACTCAGAATGCTCTGCTATACAATCCAAACGTTTTATCTTGTCATTCTGAGGAGAAAAATTCAGACAGATATATATATATATATCTGAAAAATATCTTCTCAGTTCACAGGAACATAAATAAAACAGTTTTTGTCCATGTTAGCATACTTAACATTATAGGAAATGTATTGCTATCTATAATATAACCATTCCCATTTTTATTTAGGTGCCTTTGGGTTCTTGTACATCATCTGAGCCTTGGAAGCAGAGAAAAGTCAAGCATCAGTAACTACTTGTCCAGAAACCTAGTTTTCACACAGCTGAGCAGGAGTGCATTTTACAACAACAGAACCCATAGTGCCTTTATATAAGTAATCCAACTGTGATTTTCTTATTAAAATCCTAAAGAAATACTTTGTTATTGAGAGCTTAGTTTAGTTTGGTTTTAGTAAGGTTTTACGACTCTTGCAACTGCATGAGGTCATATCTGAACGCCAAGGAGTGGATGTTAACAGAGAAGTCCAACCGGGGAATGAATCGGGCCTGCTCACCTCTCTGTAAAATAGCAGTTTACAAGAGAGTGGCAAACATACAAGAGAAGTAGAGGAAAAATGACGATAGTAAGGATGCGGAAAGAAAAGGCAGCAGTTCCCCCCTGTGTTGTTCTGGCACAGTATAAGCCCGACATTGATAAATCAGTCCATCTAGTCTACTGTGCATAAGAACATGTTAATACCCCCCCTTTGGGAGTGGCCTAAAGACACTACAGTCAGTAGCACTGCCCTGAGGGAGATATAGAGAGCATTCCCGAAATAGAAAAACAAAGTTAAAAAGAAAATAAATTTCATAAGATTCAAGAAGAGCAAAATTTATAAAATGTTGACAAAATTACTGCAATTGTCAACTTGAACTTACCGGACATGGCACAAAAAACCTCAGTTCTAACGTTCACTGAATTTGGGGAATATAATAAGTAAAATTACATGTACAATGTAATATGTTGTACACTACATATAAACTAGTCAACAAAAATTAAGGAACATTTGAGAAAAAGTGTATAACTTCGAAAGAAAACTTCAACACGCAATGGGATTTGGTACACTTTTTA